ATTCCCATTGGCTACAGCAAAGTTTCACAAGAATGCTGGGTTGTGAACAAAACTTTCGCCCCAGGCGGGACTAGAACCCGCACCTCTCGCTTTCCGGGCAAGTGCGCTACCAGTTACGCTACCGGGGCACCATTTCATTCCAACTCAGCTTTTCATGGTATACGTACCATAGCTTTCAGCACTCACACGTATAACGTGTTGAGCCGGTTAGCCGATATCGGCAATGACCGCGAGGCTGAAAGCTTTAGCAATGATTTTGACTTGTTTTGTTTGTTAACTGCTGTTTTTGGCCGCAGTTCGCCTTGCGAATGTTTCACAAGAATGCTGGGTTGTGAACAAAACTTAGCAAAACAAGCAAAACATCAAAACAAAAAACTGGCCAAAAACAGCAGTTAACAAACAAAAACAAGTCAAAATTCATTGCTAAAGCTTTCAGCCTCGCGGTCATTGCCGATATCGGCTAACCGGCTCAACACGTTATACGTGTGAGTGCTGAAAGCTATGGTACGTATACCATGAAAAGCTGAGTTGGAATGAAATGGTGCCCCGGTAGCGTAACTGGTAGCGCACTTGCCCGGAAAGCGAGAGGTGCGGGTTCTAGTCCCGCCTGGGGCGAAAGTTTTGTTCACAACCCAGCATTCTTGTGAAACATTCGCAAGGCGAACTGCGGCCAAAAACAGCAGTTAACAAACAAAACAAGTCAAAACTGCGGATAGTGTTGGTCATTGGCATCAATTCATGGTTACGGGAATATTGGTACTAGACAGTGACTCGGAGTACATATTGACTAGTGGTCGATTTTTTGAATTTTCTTGGATAACTACTGACTGCAGCACTTATATCCACCTCGTGGATTAAAGCCTCGAGAATGCTCTACCATTTGTTAGTCATAAATGTTACCTATGATTTTTTCAGAAAAAAAGAAAATTTGAGAAAAAGTGTTGCAGAACTTTCTTTCCAACCCAATATTCGTGAAATTAAGGAAGCGTTTATTGAAGTTTTGTATCACTCTAGGTGCGAAAGCCGCAACCACGTCACATACAGCAGAGGGTCGACTACTTGTTAAAATTAATGGACAAATCTATTAATGGAACTAAAGCGGTACGCGTGACAAATGTAGTGAATAGAAAACGCAAAGCTCCCGACGACGATCATGGCAAGTCCACTCCGATAGAAGAGAAGGTATGGTGAAAGTGAGCCTTGTTTGAACTCCTACGATTTAGACTTCACTTTTCAGAAACGGCGTGAGAAAGAACACCACCACCATCATCACCATCACTCTCACCATCATCCAACAACAAGCGAAAAACAGTCCGCGCGGACAAAACCATTTGCTGACCAGTTGGCGTTGGTGCCATAGAAAAGTCTATATATGGGCATGCCCTTGAGGATACTAATGATCGTCCTTTCTCAGGTAATTAGAATTTTTTATTTTTGCTGGAATTTTCCTCATTAAGCAGCTGATGGGCTGATCACGAATAAGACCTTCATTCATGCCTTGATGGTTATTTGTTGCTGGTTTTGGATAAAAGAGAATGCTATATTCGCAATCAGGATCACCGATTAACCCTATTGACGAAGTTAAAGCGGGAACAATTTTTTCTCCTTCGGCTTTGAGGTGCCTAATTTTCATGAATTTGACTGATTCATGGATTTATGGAGAACCCCACCTTATCAATGTTATTTTTTCTTCAGTTTGAAAAATTGTTTCAGTGAAGTTACATGTGAGGGCTTCAGTTTGTCCTCAATAAGACCCTCAGTAATCATCGGCGCTCAATTTCAGAGTGCGTGAAGATGATGCGACCAGTTCAGAAGTACATCAAGAAGTTGGCCGAAGCTAGTGGAGAGAAAGAGGCGGCCAAATATCTTTTGAGGCTTGGTGATAATTGTAGGGACCAACTTGATGAGCTGTTAAAGAAGTAAGACATTGATATTATTGGTTGGTTTCTTTTCTTATCCAACCCTAAATAGATTATTTTCATTCTTCAGAAAACCGAAGACGAATGTGCGCAAGTGGTATAACTACATGTGGATCTTTTTATCAAAATTTGTGTCGCAGGAGCCGATGGAAATGCTGGAAAAGTATCGTGAACTGTGCGCTGCGGTAAGAGTTCTTCCTGCACCCTTTCATCAGCTTGTGAATGGAAACTATTACTTTAGCGAAATTTGAATTCCGCATTTCATCTTTATTTTGTTTCAGAATCATCGTCACAAACATCGCGAACACAATCACGTTCAGAAGGATCGATCACCGCAAAAGCATGACGGTGAGAAAAAGAAGGACAAGGATAGAGATAAGAAGGACAGTAAAGAACACCATAAGAAGAAGCACCATCACAAGGAACACAAGCCTTTGAAAGATCAACGAATGTATAAGTCTCATGAAGGACACAAAGTGAGTTCTCCTGCTCTTTCTATTACGATAGTAGTTCAGAGGCAGGATCTAAGGAAAGTAATGCAGTATATGGCCGATGTCAGACTTTGCGAATCGCGCGATTCGCTAGCGTCCGCGGTCGCGTTGCGGTACCAGCCAATTGAGTGATTCACTGGCCGCGACGCGACCGCAGACGCTAGCGAATCGCGCGATTCGCAAAGTCTGACATCGGCCTATGGTGGAATCTTGTGGAGAGTTAGAACCTCTACATTGAACTGTCCCATAAGTGCCGTTGCCGAATTTAATCGGGATCCAGAAGCCGAAGAAACTGATTCCCACGTTCAACTTTTTGCAAATAGGTCACGCTACTTGCCTGGTATCAATAAAATCAAAACTTTATTCCTATTATGGTTAGAACAGTTGCGTCTACATTTGGAACTACAGGAGTTGTGAAGCCAGCCACTGTCCCGCTAGTCTTTCTCTGCGTCTTTTTATCGAAGTAGCATGAGTTCTCACATTCCAAGTTTTCATCCAAGCTAACTGGCTCACCTTTCCTCGTACCACCTGAATTGACCAGCCCTCCGGCTCACGAAACCTTTTTACACCAAGTGCTACAATTGCCCGGATAAGGAAACGCAGGCAAAGCGCATTCACTGGCTCCTCCTCCAACTGCAGTAGTCTTCTTCATCAGCCAGAAAGTTGTTTCTGGAAGTCGGGTTTAAAGGGATCATCGAAATCTACCATTCTTTACGAATATGAGTGTTAGAATTGTATCATTGGAAATAACCTACAAGGTTCACTCAAGATGATTCATTTTCCGAAGAAAAAGAAACCTACGAAGATCACACTTGGGGCCGATCGCGGGTAGGTCGGGCGGTGACAAGGGAACCCATGGAGAGAAGAGTGCCTTTTTGCGGCCACGTATCGGCCGCGTATTAGGCGACGCGTTGAAAGAGTTGGGACAAGCGTTGTAATTCGGAGAATGGAGATAAAACGATTGAAAAATATGATGAGGATGCAGTAGAAAATAAGGAATTCTTTGCCATATGTGAAAAAGGCCAAGAAGAATTCCCAGTGAAGGCACACCGAGAAACAAGTGGGATCGATTTCGATGTCAACATCTGTGACAGATCTATGGCCGGAATTTGAACGTCTTTTCTAACATTCCTTCCAATTTTTTCTATTGTTTATTGAAGAATTTTATTTGTTTTGAGGATCTGGTGCGGTCATCTTTGTTGAAACAAGGAAGAATTACCGAACCATAATATTCTTTATTAATGAGAATTTTCTTCTTTCACCTCAAGTACTGTCTTTGTTAACTAAAGATAATCGGATGAAACGACAATCATTGTGAAAAGACAGCCCATTGGAAATTATGTTGAGATGGTCATTGATGCCTGAAAGAAGAAACCGCGAAAGCCAGAAAAAGGAGATGGAACCCCTTCCTTGCTCTTGAGTTCCTGCATGATGCGACTCTTCGTCGTGGCTGTCATCACGATGGAACGCTTTCATGTGGGCTGATGGCTAAGAAGCTCAGACAACGAAGCACGCGAGGTGCTTACGGCAGGGTCAACCGTCCGTTGGACAAAGTCCAACGCGACGACGAGAGTAATGCCGAGAGTGAACGTACGCACGGAGACACAGACGGCTCGCGGGTGGGCGAGAGTGAATGCCGGCGCGGAGAGCGGTCAACATCGGTCCAACGTCGCTCCAATATCGGTCCAACGTAACGGTTGACCCTGCTACGGGGCAATAAGCGTGGTAACTGTGCCACGGCGAAGGTCATCTACTAAGTCCTGAGGGCATATCCTTCGATGAAATTGCGTGTCGGTCCGCATCCTTAGGCCGATGTCAGACTTTACGAGTCGAGCGATTCGCTAGCGTCCGCGGTCGCGTTGCGGTACCAGCCAATCAAGCGATTCGGTGGCCGGAGGTCCGCCTGTATTCCCACTAGGTAAGTTTCCCCTTCTTCGACCTTCGTCCTTATCGTGGAATCCTTTAACTTGTCACGAGGTCTTAGCAATATTGTTTTCTTCTGACTTACCTCTAAAACACCGTTTCTAGGACCGGCATTTCCCACGAGAAGAGGCGCCGACCGAGTACCGTAGTCCATTGCAGGACGAGTACCGTAATTCGCCCCTATTCCGAGCTCCTGCACTCTCATCAAGTTCCCGGTAGCCGTGCCGAACATAAGTATCTGTTAGGTACGATATAGCGCACAGCGATTGCAGTTTGTGATTTCAGCGTTGAACTGATCCATTACGGGTGTATCATTACCGTTTTGTTTTAACTGTCTTGTCTTATCTGTTCTTTGTGATATCTCACACGAATTCTGTTTTTGTAATACGATATTCTTCTGTCGTTTTGCTGTTAAATGGTGCGGGTGAACGTATGTAAGGAGTTTTTGATTACATCTGTTGGATACGTATTGATTGATTATAGTTGTCTACACACAATCACGTGTATGTCATTAGTGTACGCCGTGCATAGCGATAATTTCCTGCATTCTGTTTGCAGCTATGGAAAATGGGTAGTAAAACGCCGCGCTTCTATTTAAATCTGGTGATATGTCAATGGGTGGTGCTGCTCGTTCTGCGAATACTGGTTGCTTTTATTGGCTAATTGCCGCTCTGCATGGCGTATACTTATGATGTGCTCCATAGTATACGGTATACGCGTTGAAAAATAGTAACTAGTAAGTTTATGTGAGGATAGAGCTTTTGTATGTGATTCTTTAGTATTTAGCAAATCGTGATCGCTTCACCCGAGTCAAGTGTGGAAGTTGATAAATATTTATTACACACTTGTTTTTATTGAATAGCTGCTGTTTTACGGTGACTGGTAGCACAAGTT